ATTTTTTATATAGTAATAATATTACTAAAATTAATATTTAATATTTTATAAAGAAATTAATAATTATTTTTAATTTCACAGGCAAATTTGCCTGCTTGACAATCTAAGGAATAGTATTGGATCACATAATAACCTTTAACATATAGTGGACACCACCCAGAAGACGAGCCAGTAGGCTTGTCACATAGACTACATAGTACATATACCTTAGTTTTCCAATACTCATGACACCCTTCTTCACGTATGCAGGGCTCTTACCAGTATTATGCAAATATAAACAGGAATATTCTTCAAATATGTTGATATATAGGAAAATAATTAATTAAAGAGAAAATTTTGTAAAAGTATTATATCTTACAAATAATTAACCCATACCAAGATAAATAATTATTTAAAGAAAAAGTTTGTAAGATACTATATATTAAACAGAATGGTAAAAGGTAATTGAATTTATGACTGATGTGGTGATGAGTTTGCTATACCCCAAAAACTTCGTCAATATATAAATAAAAAGTTTAAATGCAAGCTAAAACCAGTATGTGAAAACTTGCTGAACTGAAGGCTAATAGTTTCTACTATCTAGTCCACTGGATTGATACTGGAGATCTATGAGTCCATTCCTATACAGGGGAAAAAATGCCACACAGGAATTCATTTGAAAAATCAATCAGGAGCTAGTCAAAATCAATAAGATCCTAACCATTAAATATGAGCGAATTGAGACTGAAAAAGACAAGAAAATATTTGCTGATGCTATTAGCTATTAGATTTGCAAAGGTAAGTTTGATATAGATACAGATGAAATCAAGTGTTTAGAAGATAAAATAACCTATCTTAAAGAAAAACTAAAAAGCTTTAAAAAAGAGTTAGCAGAATATAATAGCATCGAAATAACTATTAATAATGTAACTAAGGCAATTTAATTGCCAGTGAAAAAGCTAAAGCCAATAAGGTTTGGAATCATGTCATATCACAGGTAAGTTTCGTGGATTAGCCCATAGGGATTGTAATCTTAAACTCTAAATACAGGATTAGAAGATCTAAATCCCAGTCATCTTCCATAACTTTTGTGGTTATGACTCTTACTTGGTATGTAAATCTGTCAGACGATCAGCTAATGCTCTTCATATCCAAGTTATAGCTGAAATATTTGAGTGATATAAGTCTATAAAGGTAGGTCAGCTTAAATATATCAATAGCATACAGTTCATAAATAGTAGCTTAGCCAGTCTTACAAAAAAATTTAGGTGATAACCACCTAATAACAAGCTAATACTTCAAAAATTAGGTTATATAGAGGAACATTTAGCCTTAGCATTTCGTAAAGAAGTTTATCCTTATGATTATATTGATTCTTATGATAGGTTTTAGAAGACAAAACTTTCTTCCATTCATAAATTTTATAGTGCTCTTAAAGGTAAGATCTCACAAGATGATTACCAACACGTTCAGAATATATAGAAGGAATTCAAATGCTAAAATTTAGGTGAGTATCATGATCTCTATCTTAAGACTGATATACTTAGCCTAGCAGATATCTGGATAGAGTTTCGAAAAATGTCTATAGAATATTATGAGCTTGATCCTAGTCACTATATTTCTGCCTATTCACTATTCTGGAATGTTCAACTTAAGATGACAGGATTTAAGATTGAGCTATTCACAGAAATAGCCATGCATGATTTCATAAAAAAAGCAAAGCAAAGTGGTTTATCTATGGCCTGTCAATGATATTTAAGACTAATAATCCTAAGATGAATGCAACTAATCTTTATGGTTATTCTATGAGCCAATACTTGTTTATTAGAAATTATCAATGGGGAGCTAGTCAGGAATATTTACTAAAAAATCTAGCTATACAGAAGTAATATCTTGAAAAGATTCTCAATACACAATCTGATGCTAAACGAGGATATTTCTTAAATATTAATTCCCATTTTTTCTTAAAATCTCATGACTATTTGTCAGATTTATTTCCAGCTGTGAAAAATGTTGCTGTAGAAAAGGATTGGTTATGTCCTTATAATACTAAACTTGTAGAACAATTAGATGGTGAACACTTCTCTACCACAGAAAAATTAGTTTCCCATCTTGGATCACGAAAGAACTATGTTATTTATTACTAAGAGCTTCAATATTATGTAAAATTAGGTATGGTTGTAGATGAAGTTTTAGAGATACTCACCTTCGACCAGACTAATTGGCTTGAACCATATATATTTTTTAATACTAAGAAACGTAATGAGGCTAAAAAAACTGGAAATACATTCCTGAGTGATTTTTTCAAACTTATGAATGTATCAGTATATGGCAAGACTATGGAGAATGTTTGCAAATATCAGGATGTCAAGATTATGAAGAATAATAATGAGTGAGATGAAAAAGCTTTCTTGAATAAGGTTCACAAGCCATCTTTCAAGTATGCTAGATCACTTAAAGATATGCTAGTAGGAGCACATATGGGAAAAGCTAGTATGATTCTAAATAAACACATTATAGTCGAAGTATCTGTTTTGGGGCTTAGCAAGCTTACCATGTACAAATTCTGGTATAGATATATAAAGAAAGATACAGTGATAAACCTAGCTAGGTTATATAGATACAGACGCTTACTTTATCAAAACTGAGACAGAAGATTATACATGAAGTCGAAATGGATCATTTCGGATATCCGAAATGGTCGAAATGGTCGAAATCATTTCGACTATTGAAGG